ATTTATTCTATGGTATAATAATGTGGGAAATATCTGCCGGAATGTTGGCATTTCAGATAAAAATATGATAATAAACTTATTCTAGAAATTCTTAATGGAACGAGGCCAAGGATTATTGAAGGAACAACGCAATGTTATGTTGATCTTATTGGGAAGGTGCTGGAATGATAATCCTGATGAACGTCCATCAGCTTCAGAGATTTATGAAAATTTTCTATCCTGGGGTTTATTAAAATTTAAAGAATTTGATGAAATATTGAGAAATATGAAAACTATAGTTAGTCTTAAAACAGCATTTATGCACCCTGAAGCAGTTTACAAGAGCCGAAATATCAACTGCGATGCTAAATGTATAGAAATTCGGAATTTTTAGAACTACAGGCGGTATGGTCTCCAAATAACACTGGCTTATATTAACGGAATCGATTTAATTGGAGGAACAGATTATTATTATTATCAATATAACATCATCGGAAGATAAGAAATGATTTTTAAAAGCTATTTTTATTCTAATTTAAAATTAAAATTTATATTTTTGTTACACAATTTCTGTTAGTTGAAGTTATTATTTATAAGGCTTTTATTATGGTTTTTAAACAGAGGGCGGGTTTGAAACATTAATTATCATGTTTTCTTGTAACTTTATATAATAAATATTGATCTTTACAAATATATTCATAGTGCCTATAAATATCAGTAATAGAATCGTCATATAATTGATTTTCTTGGTTTTTACTAATCTAGTAAATAATTTTTTTGTTGATGTTCATGTCTTAAAGTCAACTGATATTGAAGATTCCCAAATAGGGATGAGTTCGCTTAGGTTATAGCCGGCTAACTGACCGGCTATAGCCGTAGTTGATGATAGTCGACTAGATCGGCTTAGCTGACCGGCTAGCCGATACAAATTTTTTATTTCCTGGCTGATAAATCATAATTATTGTTTTAATTCGCATGAAGTGCACAAATTACAGAAATATTGCATAGGAATACCCTAGCTTGTTCGTCACAACAGATTCTCAATTTTGATTGGTTAAGAGCGACGATTCCTCGAATTTTACCAATGAAATCACATCTGCACATTAAGTGAAAAATGTTCCTGAACTAATTTTATCATAATGTAGGCCTATTTCTATTTTTGAAATAAAAAAGTTAGAAACTTAATTCCGGCCAAAAATTACGTAACAATTGTATAATACGGCAGTTAGCTAATTAAAATTGAGAAATCTAAATTGGTGCAACAGCTAAGGTGTTTTATTGTAAGAAACTAAAAGACAAACATGCTTTATCTAACAATCGAGCATTTTTTGTCGATGATTTTGCAGAATGTATCCAATTTCAGTAATTTTTTTTATTTTATTCTATAAACTTACAGAATTAAAATAAAAAAAGTTTCATCGAATTTAAATCAATGGTTTTGAGAAATCTTCGTGACTTTTTTGTAAAATTCGAATGTTTTTTAAAAATTTGGTGAAAATTTCTCAACAATCATCTATCAAATTTTGATAAAAAAAATTTTTTTTAATTTTAATTATACATTGAAAAAAATTTACTGAGTTAATAAAGCAGTTACAGAGAACTCTTCAAAATTTTGTATGGCCAATCTACAATTTCAAACCAATCTGATTCTGGTCAAATATGCAGATCGTTTGGCCTATTGGGATGAGTTTAAAAATCATCCCCAATGCCAACGATCTGCAAATTTGACCAGAATTGGATTATAGTTTGATCAGTTTGATTGGCTGTGTGACCTGAATTTTTTTTAGGGTACTCTAATATTGTACAACTGTATAACATATAAAAATAAATTATTTGTCACTTGTTTATATGTTTGATTAAAAAATTGATTAAGAAATTGATTAGTAATGGAGTTTCGCAGATCAGTATAGTATAGGTGAGCAGATCCGTATAGTGCAGGCCGATTTTTAAATCTATACTATACTATACGGACCAGGTATTATATATATGAGCGTTAGTTTCTGTAATTTTGCAGATCCGTATAGTATAATTTTAAAAATTGGCCTGCACTATACGGATTTACTCACCTATACCATACTGATCTGCTATAATTTCATACTAATTTATCAGCTATAGCCGGCTATTAGTTGATAGTCGATTATAGCTGACCGATAACCGACCGTAGCTGACCGAACCCATCCCTATCCACAACCATTTCGGCCAACATTGACTTGTCCATCGGAACGTCCAAATTTGTTTAATGAAATTTCCACCTTCAGCTGATTTTAAATACCACTCAAATGCTTTTTTTTATCTTTAGAAGTACCTTTACCCTCATTGTAGAAATTTCCAACATTGCATTGCCTTTTAGAATTTCCATTTTCAAATACCACTCAAATGCCTTCTTTTCATTTTTTGCACCGCCTATACCAGTTTGGTAACAAATTCCAACATTGAATTGTCCATCAGAATTTCCACCTTTGGCTGATTTCAAATAACATTCAAATGCTTTCTTTTCATCTTTAGAAATACCCATTCCGTTATCATAACAAATTCTGACATATAATTGGCAATCATAATTTCCACCCTCAGCTAATTTCAAATACCACTCAAGTGCCTTCTTTTCATCTTTAGAAGTACACATATCACTTTGGCAACAATATCCTGCAGCAAATTGTCCATCAGAATTTCCGTCTTCCTTTTATCTGTAGAAATACCTATACCTTTTCGGTAACAATCTCCAACGTTAAATTGTCCGGTGGAATTTCCGCTTTCGGCCGATTTTAAATACCATTCAAATGCCTTTTTTTCATCTTTAGAAACACCTATACCATTTCAATAACAATTTCCAGCATTGCATTGTCCATTAGAATTTTCACCTTCGGCTGATTTTAAATACCACTCAAATGCTTTCTTTTCGTCTTTTAAAATGCCTATACTATAATGATAACAAGCAACATAGAATTGTGCATATAGATCTCCATTTTTGGCAGATTTTCTGAATGGATTCAATGAATACTGGTTTTTAAGCTCTGAGTCCATTGCTGATTTTGTATTTTGTAAATATACCAGTCAAAATTTTCAATTAACCAGAGCGATACAGTGTCATGTAACGGTAACGGATTCAATTCCCTGAAAGTTAAGGTTAGTTTCCCATGGGGTATATAACCTGCTAAATACATTGGTTTCCTTTAAATCTCTTAATAACTTTTTCAACATTAATAGTATAAATAAGTTTCTGAATAAGATATAATGTCACACCGATTGGTGAATAATAGGAGTTTGTATTAGCTTAAATTGTATATCTAATTTAAAATCGCTTATTTTGTTTTATAAAATAGGCGTATCTGGAATAGGGTGATTCGGAATTAAATGTTCAGGTTTCTGATTTCGAATAAAATTAATGACATATTTGTTTTGAAATAAGTGATTTTAAATTCTATTTTTTATATTATGATAATTTTTTCATCAGAAAAATCCATCTATTTCGTTTTCTGATTTCGGAATCTCAAAATAAACGGGTTACCCAACGGGCCCAACGGGCTTTTTTTAGAAATTAATTTGGGCCATTTCATCAAAACACTAGTCACATGATGATTTACCATGTGACTAGAATTTTGGGGAATGGCCTAAATTAATTTTTCAAAAAAAGCCCGTTGGGCCCGTTGGGTAGTCCGTTCCCTACCCTACTCCCATTTATTTAGAATAAGTTAATTCTGATTCACCCTAATGTCTTAAGTTGATAAATGTTGCAGAAATGGTGACCGAATTTCCTTTGATGAGATTCGCAGATTATATTTATTGCGCTTTCAAAAAGATGACTGCAGATCGCAATGTTATGTAAGAATTAGATTTTAAGAATTTTACCGATTTCAATAAATATGAATATACGCATGTATCAATAGGCAATTTAGAATTTCAAAAAATTTCCAAGATTAACATCACAAAAATCATGGGTCACACACATCTTTTTACAAAGCACTATAGAAATCACATAACTGGTGAAATACTATACATCTATCATGGATTTTGGGCGTTTTCAAGCACCTACAATGAATTCAACAAAAAACCTGACCTGTTCATTTGATCAAACTGGCCTAGTCAGATCCCTTATGGAATTCATTGAGGTGTCTACTTTATGGCTGTTTGCAAAATGATCAATTTTGCGAATTGCAGCTTACACATACAATCACCTGATTATTTTCGATTACATAAGTGGTGTAGTTTTTGAGAATATATGTGTTATTTTGAAGGTATGAATATAAGAAAATCATAGCTTAAAAATATTTTATTGTCCAAAGCGTAGCGATGGACCTTTAGTGTCTATGCAAAGTGATATAAAAGTTACATTTTTGATGCATCTACATAAATAACAAAGATCACATCAGAAATGTAATTTGGTCACATGGGAGGACAGACAAAAAGTTGGTAAATTAAATCCAAATTTGTAATTTGTGTAATAAGATGCGCGGATGATCCTTGATTCTGATTGGCTAAGAGCGACGATCAAAAAATTAGGCCGGAATTACTCATAATTTTAC